AAGACTAGTAGATCATCCGCAAAGATTAAATGAGAAATATCCAGGTATTTGCAACGGGGATGATATGGTATAGTCCCCAATGTATTTGCCTTAGACAACAAGCAAGAAAAAACCACCATAGCTGTTACAAAAAGATATGGTGAAAGTGGATCACCTTGTCAAAGACCCTTCTCCCCCGGGAAATAACCACATAGCCCACATTCAAACACACACTGAACATTGGAGATGTCACACACACTCTAACCCTCTGAACAAACCAATATGGAATACCCATAACAGCCATGACAGTAAATAGAAATGTCCAATTAACCGAATCGAAAACTTTCATCAAGTCAATCTTGACTACACACCTGGGAGCAATATATGTTTTGTTATAGTTTTTGACTAACTCAGAAGCCATTAGTATGTTATCACAGATTAATCTCCCTTTGATAAAAGCAGAATGTGATTGGCTAATAAGAAGTGGAAGGAACTTGGACAACCTATTGGCTAACACCTTTGCAATGCCCTTGTAAAGGACATTACAACAGGATATTGGACAGAAATCCTTCATACGTTCTACATTTTCTAGCCTAGGCATTAGAGTAAGAATCGTAGAATTAATTTACCTAGGTAAAATGCATGTTTCAAAGAATTGAAGGATTGCATCTTCTACATCCTTACCCACCACAGACCAGTCTGCTTTGTAGAATTCAGTTGGATAGCCATCAGGCCCTGGTGCCTTGTCAGATGCCATAGACATAAGGACAGATTTGATTTCATCTCTAGTAACCACACCTTGCAACTCCCTAACAGCTTCTGAAGGTAGCTTTTGTCTGAGTAGTTCTTCATAAAAACCCACAGGCTGCTCCTAAATATCCATATTGACCTTGCCAAGCAAGTTCTTATAGAAGTTAACAGCAACTTGCCACATTTGTTCTACATCAGTAACAACTGAACCATCCTCTGCCACTAGATGATCTATAGTCTGCCTTTTATTTCTTATTCTGACATAGTTACGGAAAAAACATGTGTTTGAGTCACCTCCTAAGACCTAGGACATTTAAGACTTTTGCATGAAGAAGCTTTTTTCAGTTGCCTGGGCTTCAAAACAAGCCTGGGCAAAGATTGCTTCCCTCGAAATATTGTCCTCATTGGAAATACTCATAACCTTTTCCTAGGCAGAAACCAGATGAGACTCAGCCTCCCTAGCTCGAGTAGAAATGTCAGAATAGACAGTTCGATTAAGAACTCGAAGCTTCTTCTTCAATCTCATAAGCTTCAGATTCAAATTGGTTTCTACCGTTGTGGCGGTTTAGAAAGTGTAATGGGTCAACCGGTGATGCAATTGGTTTGTCCCGATTTAACAAAATATATAGAAATATAAATAATCAGTAACATCAAATGACTTTAGTCATATATACAACACATATTAACATGAAATGATTTTAATCATATATAAACCAAATGACAATTTAATTACAATTCATATTTATATAAAGTACAATATTTCACATAAATAATAAATACTCATATTTAAATACAATATTTAATGTCAATATCTAATCATTTATACGAAGCAAACAAATAACATCAATATTTAAATTTAAATTTATAAAATATAAATAATTAATTAATTTTTATCAATTAGATTCACTAAAATGATATTATTTTGTTTAGAGGTCATAAATCGATCATGCCGATTATACCATTGGTGTTTACTCCGATTTTATGATCGGCACCGGTTAAACCAAGTTAAACCAACATACATATTAAAGTGACAGCCCAACGAATACTTGTTATCTTGTTTTAAATGTTGGCATATCCAAGTTCATAACCTATATCGGGTTCACTCTTTTTTAAAAACTCACTTGCATTACCAAGAGAAATAGAGACCAATGTTTACAAACCACATAACAACTCGCCCGTCCCAAGTCTTGCGATCCTTGATTTTGGAAATAACAACTTGCGCATCACCCAGGAACGAGACTTCTGTTAAACCCTTCAATGAGCACCAACGAATTGCATCCCGGAAAGCCATTAGGTCACTCACAAATGGATATGTTAGATCTACATACACAAAATCCTGTGCAAAAAGAACAGTCCCCGCTTGATCCTGTTCCACAATCCCACCCAAAGGATGGGACCCCACCTTTTTTTCCGTTGAATCAGTTGCTTTTATTTCCAGAAAATAAGGTAACCGATACAACGAAGGTGAGCTCCAAGTAGGAGTTCCCAGAGAGATCACTCAACTAAACCAGACTTTCCTCACTTTCACTCACTATAAGTAATACTTACAATACCCAAAAAGAAAGCCTATAAGTATCCAAGACGAACAAAAGCATCACGAATCCCCCTATCCCCATGAGATATGAACATTAAGTCTGCACGAATAAGACCAACAATGGGACCCCACCTTTACCGCACCATCCACATAACAAATATAAGGCGTAGCGACACTCGTGTCTACCATCCTGCGCGCTATATGAGGATTCACCACCACCCATGACCAGGAAATTCCACCCATTCCCTAACATGATGACTCGCTAAGACACAACTTCTAACAATGGCCAAGTGTAACCAATGAAAGGGACTGTAGTATAGTGGCACAAGTAATAAATATCGAATCCAAGGGTCTCTAGAGTTACTATTACTCAGCTTCAGTTCATTATCTAGCAGACCAGATTAATGATTGATTTACTAAACTACTATACTAACTAAACTAGGTTAAACTACTAATTACAGGTTGGGAATTCACTTAGGTATGATTCCCCACTAGCTCCTCAATTAGGTCCAAGTTGTAATTCCCTTCGGTCGTTTTACTATTTCTTAAACTGCGGAAGATCCTAAATTAGCTTGGAATCTTTTAAGATGACCAAGCCCTCTAAGACATAATACCCGGCGGGCGACTAACCTCCACCGAAGTACAAAGCTAAGGTAGTTAACACAGAACTCCATTACTGGAATGAATTCCAGTACAAATCAGGTGAATTAATTTACTCTCGTACAATCAATTCCCTACTACCAATTGAGAAGGCTCTCTTAACCCAATCAGATTCTATCTATCAAAGGTTAAAGCATAAATCAAGAGAATTTGATCATGATTCAATTGACTCAATAAATCATGCCTCAATCAATTATAATCAAACAATATAGCATCCAAAGATTCATACAAGAAAGATCCTAACACATGGAACTAGGGTTCCTCAAAACCTAACTGAAGGGAAGTTACTCCATAGAGAAGAGAGAGACTGCAGAAATCTGATCTAGATCTTCAATCTCCATCTCCAACCTTTATTCCCAAGATCCAATGGCGAAGAAATCCTCCAAAATAGCTCAAAGAATGTTCCCAAGTCGCTCTCTCTCTCTCTCTCTCTCTCTAGGTTCGTCCCTTGGGTGTTTGGGAACCAAAACCCAGCTCTCTCTCCTAAAAAATCGTAGACAATAGACTAATACCCGAGCAGGGGCACAAACAAGGTCGTGTTTATAGGTGTCAAAACATGACCCGACCCGAGTAACCCGCCCGCCCAACCCGATCGGTGACCCGGCCGCAACTCGATTGGACTAAAAGTCAAAGACCCGCAACCCGCTTGACCCGCAACCCGCTTGACTCACAACCCGCTTGACCCGAACCCGATTGACCCGAATCCGATTGACCCGCAACCCGCTAGTCCCGTAACCCGACTAACCCGAACCCGCCCGATTGGCACGAATAATACTACATAATATATTCTTGTGCATAAATATTATATGTAGATAATATATATATATATATATGGTGCCTTCTACGGTACCCCGGGTGAAATCCGGGGTACCGCATACCTTGAGTATGAAAACGATATCTAGACTTCGAATTAGCAGGATTTTTGGGCATGATACTATACCCTAACCCTTAATGAGTGAACCCTAGGTCCTAATTATCTAAATCATAAACTATAAACCCTAAGATGGTGTATTACTTTTTTTGCCTATATATGGACGAATCATAACCGTCGATTATTGTTTCTAATTAAATTGATCTTGGGGTATAAGATTTAGAGAATTAAGACCTAGATTTTGATCTTTATGGGTTAGAGTATAGTATAATGTCCGAAAGATCAGTCAATTCAAGTTCTAGATAGCGTTTTCTTACTTAAGGTATGCGGTACCCTGGATTTCACCCGGGGTACCGTAGAACTCCCCATATATATATATAAAGTTTATGTGACTTGCCCTATTATTTTTTCATCTTTCCCACCAAGAACAAAGGTTTACTTTGTGTTGACAAATAAAAACTGGCATTTAATTGAATCACATAATAGTCTCACTGTCTCGGTAGATAAGTAGAAATCCTGGGAGGGTTGTCAACATTTTTTTACATTTGGTTGATGTATATATATATAATATATATAGATAACACATACATATGAAAAACATGATTGACTTAATTAAGCCAATCATATATCAGTACCTAATAATTACAACATTTTTTCTTCCACACATAATATAACTGGTCACATAACATTGTCAAAATATTAACCTAGCATACGAAGATTCATAATAGTACATAAGTCATAACTCATACCCTGGCCCCAATAATAAGAAGATACATAATAGTTTGCTTACTAAGTTCTACCATATAAAAAATAGTAGGATACAAATACATAGCTGACATTGTCACATCTTACATACCAACAAAATAGGTTCACAAATTAAAATGGCAATTCATGCCCTGTTCACTTCCCATTTCATTTTCTGTTTTCTGTTTAAAAAATGAAAATCAGAAAATAAATGACAAAAATCGTGTTCACTTGACCATTCCATTTTCCCTGAAAAAAATCAATTATTACAAATGAGAAAGCTTTGGAAAAACGATAAATACCTGTTTTCCGAAAATAAGGGCACGGGTTATCCCCCGTTTCCCAGCGGAAAACATGCTTATTCATTAAAATCGATCCGCGTTTGATTCACCACAGATACATTTTTTCTCCCTTTTTCCTCCGAGCTTCTAAGTGCTGCCGTTTTCCCCCCATAGCGCTGCCGTTTTTCCACCATAACCCTAGAAGAGAAACTTCGGCTTCTCCTCCCACTTCCTTCTACCTCTCGCTCGACCCTTCGCTCTGCTGCCAACCCGCCATTCCCTACCCCCAGACACCCTGCCGCCATCATCTTCCTCTCCCTCCAGACAACGACGCCGCGTCCGAGTACTCGAGCAGCAGCGAAGGAGACGGTGCAATCATCTTCCTCTCCAGCCGGTGCCCCGTCTTCCTCCTGCTAGCGACCCATTCTACGTAGAAGCAACAGCCGATGCCCCGTCTTCCTCCAACAGAGAAGCTACAGCCGCACATCTTCCTCCGGCGACGCTCTCTCTCTGGCGTTGCTGTTCAACAAGGCACTGTTTTCGATTCGGGTCCCAATTACCCTCGCGCTGACGCCTCCCATTGCCAGGGCTTTGGCCAGGAGAGGAATGATCAGGAACACTGTATGAGCTTCGAATTGTACTTTCTTTTCCATTTTATTCACTTTCGTGTTGCTTCCAGTGATTATGGGTAGCTTTTAGATCACGAGAGGATTACTGATAATGGTTCTTTGAGTAGTGATTTGAGAATTTACGACAATAGCAAATATCCATATGTGGTTTTGCTGTGCATACTTTGTTGTGCCTTTTCTGGATTTCAGAATAACAGGGAAAGATTCTAGCTTTTCGGTTTAATCCTTCCCGCTTTGTTGTTGCTATATGATCCAATTGATTTGCCTTCGTGTCCTAGAACTTCATGAACAAACATCATATATGAATCTAGGGTGTTCTTTGAAGTTTACGTATTGACTGGATGCATATTGATATGCCTGGTTCACATTCGGTGGTAATTGGAATTTTCGAAGCGGGATAGGGTTTTAGAAGTGCAAGATGTGCGCCTCGTAAACAACTTTTTAACTATTATCATTCATCTCTACGCAATGTTATCGAGCGTTGTTTTGGAGTTTTGAAGGCTAGATTCCCCATTTTGAAGCATATGCCTCCTTTCGAATTAAAAATTATAATCATGGCTAGAGTTGTATGATAATCAAGAATCAGAAAACAGAATGAAGCAACTAAACAGGTTTCCATTTTCAGAACTCAATTTCAGAACTCACCAAAATTCTTAGCTAAACAAGGTTTTTTCAGGTTTTGTTTTCCAGGAAATGACAGCTTCGTTTTCATTTTAATTTTGTTTTATGTTGTGGCAGCTAACAGAAATGGAATGGCAAGTAAACGGCCCATCACTTGGCGATCAATCAACAAGGTTCACTTCTTCTCCATCATATTCTGCATCTTCATTATCCTCATATGTACAATTAGTCATTGAAAGTAAAAACACCATTGTAAGCAAACTCTTACCTACTTTAGTATACACAAAGAATAGAAATTTTCTTACCCATTTTATATCCATGCATCCAATTACGAGTTGTCACAACAGCTTCAAGGGTATCAGACAAAATGGAAGTCCTCCATTTGGATAATATTCTACCTCCCAAACTAAAAGACGACTCTGAAGCAACTGATGAAAATGGAGTAGAAAGCACATCTTTTGCCATTCGAGAGAGTTGAGGATATCGAAATTGATGATCCTTCCAATATTGCAATACTTCAAAAGGAAGCAATGTAGGAACCCCATCAATGTCAGCATAAGCAGGAATTAAAGGATCCGCCAAATATAACTCCAACTCGGATCTAGTTGATGTGTTCTTATTGATATTGGAAGCATAGAAACCCTGAAAATAATACATATCATCAATAATCAGACATAAGATCGAAAGAAGTATAAACAACAAGATGACTCAAAAGGTAGTTAGAATACTTACAGCAGTGTGGCTATCCAAAGGAATGCTCGGAGAAGCCATATGCACCACACTTTGACTAGGTAAAGTGGACGATTGAGTTTTGTACTCCTTAAAGAGCAGCTCCAAATAATCCATAATAGCCTTCGGCTTTGAAGTGTACTCTTCGCCCAACTTTTCATAGCAAAATTTGACAAATGCAAGCTTGTAACGAGGATGCAAAATGAAACCAAAAGCAAGCACTAAGTTGTAGTCTTTCCAATATTTCAAGAACTTGGACATCATTGTGTTTCCTATACCTCTCATATCATCATCAAAACATATACAAAGATTCTTCAGCTCAAGATGGATCTTCCAAACATTCTCGAAAACAAGTTACTTGTTGGGTACTTGGTTCCCGAGAATAACTTTGTGATTTCATCAAATGGCTTCAAAAATTTTGCAAGCACCTCCATTTTCTCTCAATCATTATTTGATGGACAGAAGACAGCACGGAAGCAAAGAGTCGCGGGCCGGCGTGGTTGTGGCGGAAGAGGCTGGGTTTTTTTCCCTCGCCATTCTCAGGTACGTGTCTCTCGCTCTCGGCTCTTCATTCTCTAACAGAGCAAAACGATAAAGAAAATAAGGAAACAGAATATTTTTTATTTTGCTGGATGGAAAATTCAGCAGCAAGGGTTTGATTTTGTCGTCTGTGTTGGTAAGGCTATTGTGCAATTTTTTGTTTTTAATGGTGAATTGTATTGAAAAGGAGAAGGGGAACAACAAGGCTATTGTGCTATTTCAATGGGCACTTGGTGTTGGTAAGGCTGGATGAATATAGTTTTCTTGTTCGATGATTTTGAAGTGAGTATTTTTACAATTAAATCTATAAATCTATAAAGGAAGCTCATTCTTTTGTCCATCCACCCTCTTTAATACCGAAAAATTGAACCAGCTTTGATCTTTCTTGTCTGCGACCGATCTTTTTGTTCACTTCTGTGTTGTTTTGCTCTCTGCTGCGTACCCAATCATAATGAAATACAAGGAATTGCATGTGTAAGAGCTGAGGGGACTGGATGTCGCTGATAGATGGATAATATGCAATTCTGTGGTACCATGTACATGATAGATGGAGAAGATGCTCTCTGTCCCTTTCTCCGTTTTTAACACTTGTGTGCTATCTTCATATGTTCTAGGGTATTTTCCAGATATTTCCTTTCTTTGGCATTTTTTGGTACCATGTACATGTGATGCAATTCTACAACTGTAGGTGAAGTGGACTTTTCCCCTCCAAGGATTCTTCATTAGCTAGTGGACTTGATTTGCGGTATATTCTAATCTAACAAACTAGCCAATGCTCGCACTTCCAGTTTTTAGCCTTCCTACGAAATGAATTTGATAAACCCTTTCTAGTAACTAACGGTTCTGCTAATGTCTGATCATATATGGTAGTCGTGAATAATTAACTAGTATTGCCTAAGGCCCCAAGTATTACCTTTTTCGTTTTACCTTTCCTCTGCAATAGCTACAATACCACTAATTTCCTCTGCAATTTTCTTCTTTTCCAATCCAACAATCAATAAAATTAGTAATCGTTTCCTTTTTTTTGACTATTAGCTAATTTAATTAGCTAGCCAAGATGATTCACTACTAAAAATCATGTTGGTTGTCTTCATCACCATACATTGTTGCTGCACGTTTATATGCATTCAACAGAAATAATCAAGAAACTAGAATATTCAACGATGCCAACATACATTGACGTCTTTAAACATCATTGATAGAGCATCCGGACTGCTAGTGCTTACCCGACCTGTTTGGCCTGTTTTGGGGCGGGGCGGGACGATCATGGGTACTTTTATCGACCCGACCTGAGTGCCAATACAATTGTCAAGAGTGCCAACTGTAGGCAAACCCTCTAAAATTAAAAACCTGCATCCAGACCACCCCTAGATGAAATTTTAGCAGTCATGTTATTGTGTTTCTTGTTTCTTGTTTGATTGATTATGTAATTCTTTTCTTTTCGTTTCTTTTTTTCATAAGCAATGGACGTCGGGGCTAGAAGAAGCAAAATTTGGGAGAATTTCACTCAAGTTGAATCAGAGGGGGAGGTCAAGCGTCAATGCAACCATTGCATGAAGGTTTTTGGATGCTATCCTAATAAGAATGGGACAGTTTCACTGTGGAGGCATCTTAAGATGTGCAGTAAGAGAAATCTTCAAGATTAATGGAGCCTTATGTACTTTTCTGTATTTCATTCTATTGTATTTGCTTAAACATCATGTAATGGTCTCAACTATCAAGACTCAAGAGATTGTTTCATTGGTTTATGATCAAGCAAGTTGTCATCTTTTTAATTTCTTATGTTGGTTTTGTAACCTTAATGAATCCTTTGCAACATCAAACTTGTTTATGATATATTCAAGCAAAATCTAGTCACTCATTTTTTTAATAATGTATCTTCATGTTTTTTTTCATTGCAATATGGTGATCGATGAGTTTGTTTTAAATTAGTGTAGTAACTAATTATTAAAAAAACTCGATGGTTTGGACTGAACAACCCGCAACCCGACCTGTTGTAACCCGCAATCCGATCCACCCGAACCCGATTGATCCGCAACCCGATCAACCCGTAACCCGATCGAACCACAACCCGATCAACCTGAACTCGATCAACCCGCAACCCGATCAACCCGAACCCGCTTGACCCGCAACCCGATAAACCCACAACCCGACCCGAACCCGCCGGATTGACACCTATAAGTAAGACCATCCTTAAAATTTATTTTATGTCAACGTATACATAAAGTTATAGAGTATACGGTAGTAGACTTGTGGTTTAGAGTTTGGAGTCATAGGACATATGTTCTTCTCAATTACCGAATATAAAATTGACTCAACTTACATTCTTCACATAACATACATTATAGCTTATACCAACAATTTCATAACATATAACTATATTATAGGGTATAGGGTCATGGTTTAGAGTTCAGTGTTTGCCTGTTTTGGTTATGGACTTATGGTTAAGGGTTGAGCTTAGTTTTAGGGTTAATTACTTAATGTTGTGATTTAGGATAATGTATAGTTGATGGTTAAGGTTAGTTTTAGGTTTCAGATTTAAAATGGTGTTATAGGGTTAGGGTTTAGGGTTTAGGATTTCTTCATGGTTATGCTTTATGGTAGATTTTGGTTTTTATAGTTTATTAATTAATTTGATTTTAACAATTAATTTAACTTATGAATGTACATCTTAAATATATCATATTAAATAAAATTCCGACCAACGGATCGAACAACAAACTAGTTAATTGGTATAAAATTTACCATCTATAATAATAAATATGAAATAAAGGAAGAATTAGATGTTGATGGAAATTTTTTAAATGCAAAATTCAATCACGGTATAACCCCGTGAATAATAAAATAATAATTTATTAAAAGAGAGGTACCCCTTCATGAAAAAAAAATTCTCCCAAATTTAGGAGGGAAACTTTGCCCCACTTTTCCATTGGAGGAGGGAAACTTTCTTCTACGAAAAAAGAAGAGGGAAACTTACCCCTTTCCAAATTTTAGAGTCCCTCGAAAAATGAAAACAAAAAATCCCGCCTTTGCCTTTCTTTTCCCTCTTCAATTTCCCACCTACTCTCATCGATTTGCTATCTTGACGATGAAACCCCACTTCATTCTCTAGCTTTCCTCTTTTCTTTTTCTCCTCGTCCGCCTGAGATCCACGCTGCTGGTGAGAAGGCCTCGGCGGCAGCGAGACCCACTACTTCGTATGCTTAGAAAGGCTATATTTTAGGATTGTGCTTGCTGCTTTTAATAGAAATGGTGATTTGCAGGGTCATCTAGGTTCTCCTGTGAAATTTCAATCTATATAGGAATGGTGATTTGCAACAACAAAAGCTACGCCCATAGGAGTAGAAATTTCAATCTTATGTAATTTCTTGTATTTCATTCTATTATATTTTCTTAAATGTTATGCAATGGTCTCAACTATCAAGACTCAAGAGATTGTTTCATAGGTTTATGATCAAACAAGTTGTCGGCTTTTTAATTTCTTATGTTGGTTTTATAACCTTAATGAATCATCTGCAACATCAAACTTGTTTATGATATATATTCAAGCAAAATCTAGCCACTCATTTGTTTAATAATGTACCTTCATGTTTTTTTCATTGCAATATAGTGATCGGTGAGTTTGTTTTAAATTAGTGTAATAACTAATTATAAAAAAAAACTCGATGGTTTGCACCGAACAACCCGCAACCCGACCTGTTGTAACTCGCAGTCCAATCAACCCGAACCCGATTGATCCGCAACCCGATCAACTCGTAATCCGACTGATCCGCAACCCGATCAACCCGAACCTGATTTGCCCGCAACCCGATCAACCCGAACCCGCTTGACCCGTAACCCGCTTGACCCACGACCCTACTGAACCCGCCTGATTGACACCTATAGTCGTGTTTAGTCCTGCCCGTGTTTTGGTCTTTCCCGTGTTTTGGTCTCGCCCGTGTTTTGAATCCCTTCAGCAGTCTTCACAAGAGCGGCTCGGTATAAAAAACACTGGCAGGTGCCAGATGAAACACGGCCGTGTTTTTAGAGTAGTCTGCCCGTGTTTCTTCCGCCGAACCTGTTCCCCTATATTCAATGCTTTGTATCTCCCTCGTCCAAACTTCAAATCAGTCGCCGTTTGATACCAGACACTCGTAGTCTTGTCATATTTCTTTTCATGACAAGCTTACATGATTCTTTGTCCATAAAGTGAGGTAGAAATCCATTCTTCTTCAGGTCATGCCCAAGTTTCTTCTCCCCAATTGCCAATGGATCTCTGATTGACTTGAAACTTGCGCCTATGCTTCACTTTACATGCTAGGACTTGAAATGTGACAAACGAACCCAACCTAGCATAAAATAGGCCAAGAAAGCAAAAACTCAAGCCAAGATTATCAAGAAACGAGGGTGCAAACATGTGCAATGCGACGTTATCACCTGCATATGATATTGTCGAAGCAAAGCATCTGTAGAATATTGGAAATGATAAAAAACCACCCAGTTTCTAGATTTTCATATTCGCCAGAACAATGCCACTATCTCCATGATCCTTGCCGGCTCCACAATCCGCTCCATCATCCTTCGAAAGACTAGTGCCATATTCATGCCATCCAACCTTGGCGTTCCCCCACCAAACCACTTCGCACCCAAAGCTCTTCCGGCCACCCTACAAGTCAGAAAAAGATGTCCATAGACTCTAGGGGACTCCAACACACTGGGCATCGAAGTAGCCCTACTCCACCTTTCTCACTCAATGCTTCCATAGTAGGCAAAATACGCCGCATCAACTCCCATAGGAAAAAACTTCAACTTAGGCGGGATTGGAAAGCTCCACGTCTTCTTCCAAAAACTCATATCCCAAAAAGACACTTCCTCCTTCCACCCCGTCAAACCTCGCTTAATCTGGACTGCAATATGATACTCGGACTTAACAGAAATAACACCCATCAGCCTCATTAGCCCAAATCAGCTTATCCTGCACTGGAAGTCTCGGGAAAGGGATGCTAATTATCCGTCGCTTTACTTCTGTTGGAAAGTACTGATCCAAATAGTTCTCACACCAAGCCCCCTCTCCCGGAATAATTAGATCACACACCCTGGACATCTCATCCAGAAGCGCAGAAGCTATAATGGGCAACTCCTTACCAGCAAACCCCGGAACCCAAGTCTCTCCCAAAACCCAAGCTATAAAATACTTCGCCAACCCACGAGGAACGTGATCCCGCTCTAGCATCCATAATACTTCCTCTAACAAAGTACTTTCCTTTTAAAACCCGCTCTTACCTTTCACAACAAGTAGAAATTCGGTGCCATGATAACCATTATTTTCTATTGCCAACATAATTATATTTGGCTATAGTATAATCATTTTTCATTATTTCTTATTTATATACAATTAACTTTTTAACCACCGATATTATCATACAAAACTTAACAAGTTAAAAACGCATTGTCTGGATTTTTTTTATTGTGTTATTGAAAGAAACTCATATTGATTTCTTAACCATTCTTAAGAATAAAGAAGAGCTTCAACTGTTATTTCTTTTTTACAATGTCGTAAGACTTGGATCAATTACTCCTCCTTCTGTATTAATGACAGCTTCTGAAAAAATCGTAGTTATAAGAATATTCATAATATCACAAGCCATCCTTGACAAGATCTTATACCTCATTCTTTATTCCTTCTATCGCTCAATAACATCAAAATTATAACATGTTGGCACAACGTAAAACCCACTAAAACCCACCAGCAAAATAAACATCTAATGCTTTTCTGCTGGAACCCTTATGAAGTCTCTTCTTTCTATTTCATTAGCTACCTCATATGTGTTCAATGTGTACCGCCGATGTGTACTTTAACCTCCCACTGCCACATCTCATATATTTATGATACGATCAGCTGAGCCAGTACAAAATCATGTATTACTTGGTTAGTTGTATTGTGATAGAAAACAAGATAATGAAACATTAATTGGGAGTTCGGGGACTCTATTTATGTTTCTTAATGAAGATGGAACTTAAGACCTACTTTTTGTGCTTCATGTTTTTATTTTTTGAGTTTAAAGAGTCTAAAAGAAAAAAAATCAATGGAAACTAAACCAATGCATTAAGAAAAGTCTAGTTCAACAACAACTTCTTACTTGGTCGATGCATGCAAGGAGAAAGGGAAAAGGAATAGATCAAAACAAGAGCTATTATATGAAATTGGAATACAAAAAGTAAGTTAAAACTTAAAAATTACCTTAATGTTCTTTTTCAACCCATGGATTTCTTAATCAATCTTGAGAACAAAAAAGAGCTTGAACGATTTTTCTTTTTTACAATGACGTAAGATTAGGATAAATTAATCTTTGGTACCAACGATAGCTTCTAAGAAAATTGTAGTTATAAGAATAGTCAAAATATCACCAACCATCCTTGACAAGACCTTATACCTCATTCTTTTATTCCTCCCTCCGCTCAATAACATCAAAATTACAATAGGTCGACACAACGTAAAACCACCAGCAAAATAAAGGGTTAATTGCTCCCTCCGCTTCATGTTCTGATTTTTTAGTT